AATTCACTCACCAAACAAATTTCAGTACATTTTTGTTTTTCTTAATTTCATTTGCGCCATTAATTCGAAGTATTCTCTAAGGTCAATTAATTTCCCGTGAAGTGTAATAAAATTAACTTCATATATCATTTGACAACACTAGTTCTTGTGACAAGTGGCACTGCAAATCTTAAGTCATTTCTTTTGGGCCTTACCCACCATTGATTGAGGAGCTAATTGAATCCATGGCATATCATATGATACTATAGTAGTTAAGAATGCTTATGATTTATAAGTGAAACTAACTCCTTAGCTCACAAGGGCTCTTTTGTAGAATGAAATTGTGAGCTTATAGGTCAAATAGACAATATTTCCTAACAAACACAATACAAATTTTGACATCAACAACTGTTACATGCACTATTGAGTGAGGCTTTCTTGGATACACTACTTTAGTAGCAGAAAAAGGAAAGAGGAATTGAGGTGGGCTTCTTAAATTTTATAAATTATAACTCATAACTCATTATTAATTCTCGGAATTAATCTTTTATAAAGCAGAATAAATGCCATGCATGCAGGATATCAATCATAGTATATAAAGTCGAACTCATCTCATTGTTTTTTGTTGCTTTGGAAACTTCTTTACTGCTTTAAATTTGTTCCATTCCAGATTCCGACCTTTTCTCCCTTGCAATATATTGTTATGCAGTTCTTATCCCGTCTGAAAGTGAGAGAGTAATCTTCTTCTTTTCCTTTCGTGGAGATGTGCATGAAAACTACGACTAATAAAAAGTAAGTGAAAATGGAGGTTAAGGCAGCTTCATCGTAGTTTCTGAAGGGAATAAAGCTGAGAAATAAGGGAACAATGAGCAGACAAGAATAAGATTTAAGTTTTGAGATGACCCTTCTATATCTTGTATCTTTTGGGAAATTCTTTATCTTGTCATTTCCATGTGGCTTTATGCACACACGCATTACACATGCATGGTATCATTCTCAAACATATATAGTATGATACACATTATACTTCGTATAAAGAAACAAATATACACATTCTGTCTTTTCCTTGAATCAAAAGGAAGCCTAATATTCCATTAAAAAAAAAAAGAAAAAGAAAAAGAAGAAAGCCTAATATCATCGAAGGTACTTAGAGATTTTATATTTGAATTCTTTTTTTTTTTTTTGGAATGAGTATTAATTTTTTTTTTAATTGACAAAAGAAATATTAATACTAACTGTAAGGATTTGAATTTCTAATATTGACCAAGAAAATAGCCAACTTATCGACTCAGCTAATTAAGTTTATTGTTGTCGGTTTTGAAGGTTAGCTAGAGGAGGACCAATGGAAGAGAGGAAGTGTCTTTCTCCACCTGACATGCAAAAAGTAAATAAATAAGTAAAGGAATGAGATGTCCTCTTTCAACCTAAAAAGGTGAAATTGAATTGTTCTTCGGCTTTATGGAAGGTTTCGGGATGCTCTAAAAAAAGGAGATGTTAGCAGTTTTTAGGGTTTTCTGGGTGTGAAGAGATTTGGTTCCATAAAGAAGTCGCAGAAGGAATTGTAGTGCAGTGAGGAATAATGCAACATGGCCAATTGCCACCTTTTTTGGATTCTTCAGTGCTACTACCTGCTTTCAGGTACTAGCCCACTTCTTTAGTGTCAGCGTAGATGCTAGTAAACTCGCATTCTTTAGCATATTATTATTGGTACCCAATAATTAACAAATCTTTTTTACTAATATTTTGATATTTGAAAATTATATTAAATATTAATTAATTTAAAATTAAATTATGTTAGACTTTATAAAAAAGAAAACTTTCCTAATATTTATAATTTTTTTTACTCAAATTAATAATTTGTTCGCATCATTAACAAATTTTTAAGGGTTAAGAGTTTGAAAATTTTTGTGATTTATAAAAAATTGGTACAGTTTCAAAAATATGAGGGGAGAAATATAGGAGAGGAAAATTTGTCATAATTGCGTGGGATTGCAAAATTAATATATTTTGTCAATTAAAATAATAATAATAATAATAATAAATTTTAAATATTTTTAATGAATCAATAAAAAAAATAAGAGACTATCACTAAAAGGGACAAACCAAAATCTTAAATATGGACGAATAAATACTGAAATAATTAATTTTGGCGCGGCAAGGAATCAATTTTGATGAAATTAGGTGAGAGAATGATCTCCTCGTCTGTAGGTTGTTTGTCCAGTTAGGAAAGTTAGGTTAGCATCCGAATGCGATGTGTATAGTAATTTTTATCATAAACATTACGTATGGAACCATCTATAACTAATTTTTTATTGCTTAATTAGTTAATTTCTACATTCATCAAAAAGAAGAAAAAAAAAAAGTTAATATCTCTGTCCATACTCCATACCCATACCTTTTCAATTTCACATCATTTTCCACTGTACGATATAAAAATGTAGGAGTATGACCCACTAAGTACTGGACAAAAAAAAGGTTAAAACTTACTCCTGTTTTAAATTAGATTGAATAAGAATAAAATATGGGTTTTTCTATATTATTAAGATATATGTTAATGATATATCTTTTATATTTTTAATTAACAAATATAAAAAATAAAAATTAATATTAGTTTTAATAATTATTTAATTAAATTCATTTAAATAAAAATAATGATAAAATTAAGAAAAAAGAGAAAATGAAATTATTCTAATATTTGACGTCTAATTACAATAACTAAATGTGTGAGATATAATGTGAATTTTAATTTTATTGAATTTGTTTTATAACTATTCTTAAATATCTTAATATTTTTAATTTCAAAACATCTTAATTTTTTTAAAATTAATATTAATTTTTATATTTTTATAGATAAAGTAAAATAAAAGCAACAGTACCCAAAACACACATAAAATATAGATAAAATATTTTGTCACATGTTCTGCATTGACTACGAAGCATCTATCCGGTAATTAGTAGAGTCCAAGCGAGACTAATGACAAACCTCACTGACCATGAAAACGAAGTACCTGCACTCCATCAACCCCATTGTCTTAATTAATGCTTTAACATGTTTCTTTCTTCTTCTTTTTTTTAAAAAAAAATATTTACGGAGGACGAGAACGGAAATGATTAAGTTACCATGATTGAGTCACAATGTTTTTCTTTCCATTTTTTTTTTCTCTCAGTATTTTGTGCAGCATTAGATAAATCTCCTGTGACCTGAAACCCATGTTACTTCAAGTGGATGTGTTCTGGCAAATCCAGCCACTTCGAATTTGGCCAAACATTTTGCCTGTTTCATATCCGCACGACTAGGAAAACCTTGAAAAGACGATTTTGCATACCAAAGTATAGCACTGCAGTCACGTCATTTTCCTCATCTCCGTCTTGAAATATTGTTTGAGGCGAACGATCCCAGCAAATTTATCTATTTCCAGTATTGTCTCCATACAGAGCAGCTTCCTTTCAAGAGAGATGTTCCCTCTGTATGCGAGTGCAAATGGTCAAATTCAGATCCAGAACACTCAACGTGTGAAGGGGGCAAGAGTTAATCCCATGAGGAACCCAAAAGTCTCTGTCTGCATCGCTTTCTGCTCGAAACTTCTGAATACTGATAAAGACAATTTTGTACTGGTAAAGAAAGGATAAGGTTACCTGTTCGTAGTTGTAGACGACCCAGTGCTTTTAATGTAGGATTATGATGTCAACAAGATTACAAATGAAACTAGTACCAACCTCAAAACTAGCCAGGTACACTAGTCTTCACCGGACTGACCAGCTCCAGATGCTGTAATCTTTTGGATGCTAGTGATGTTTCCAGATCAAGTGAAATCAGTGATCCATCCATGCATGACGCGTGGAAATAATTATTATAGCAAGAGATGTAAACAAGTAGAGCAGCAGGGGATACCATTTATCTGTGGGTTATACACTAACAATGAAGAACTCAACCTTTCTATTTTTATTGCAGTCTCATAGACCCGTACGTTACCAGAAATACAGAAATTGATTGAGCCAGCAGCCACTGCACTTATTTGCTTTTCTGTAGATGCAACAACCGTGCAACGTGGTTTGCAGCATTGGTAGACTCTAACAAGCACGTGCCTCAGGCAAACTCCGTGTCACTGGACCGCAGACCCCAGAGACCCTCAAAGATGCAAAAAGGCAGGACAACCTAGCTATCATGGGCCTGGTTCGCACCATCTTCGGTACAATCATGAGCTCCTTGCTAGCATTGTTGTCAGAAGTTCCATGATAACCTTCAAGATCTGCTTTTGTTATCAGGACTGCATCTGCAGAGGGAGACTGTGCAGCATCTGCTCTTTGGCACTGGCTGTAATCCAGAACCGCCTGCTTATAATCATTGACAAGAAAACAATAAGCAAGAATGAAGAGAAAGTAAGGTTCCTTAGAGATGTTTCTCGCTACATAAGGAATCTGCAATTAGAGTCTCGGAAGATAAAGCTGGCACATTCTATAACTACCAAGATTAATTACTGAACCCCAAATGCACAATGGTCTCCAGCTCTCCGCACAACAAGAATAACAAATGAAGGCACTTTCGGGCCTCCTTTTTATCTTAAGTACATGAGGGAAAAGAAAAATGCAACAAGAGTTGGAAAGCTTCTAAGCATGTATGACACATTCTGCACATGATTTCTGGGAGACCTAATTACTTACCTTCCACTGTGAGGGGGCAAGCAAAACTCGAGGTCTACTGGACCGTACATAATCAAGAGCAGCAGCAGGTGTCATGTGTTTATGCTCTACCTGAAGAATGTAAAATTGATTCATCATATAGTGTTAAATGAGCAGGATGGAATTTAAATTAAGTGTTCAGCTAACCTAAAGATAAGTGTTACTCTAAAGTCAACAAACTTTTACATAATTGAGAGAACATTACCAAATAGCAAAGTACAATGGTTGTGCTCCTTCCTCTACCGGCTTTACAATGTACATAAGTAGTTCTACCACAAGATGCATTCTCTGTGCCAAAAAGGAAAAGAAAGAATTTGGCAGATGGCCAAATGGGCCACAGGGACAAGCACTCTATCAGAGAATGGTCAGAACGTAATTACTCACTATGAATGAAGTCCACAGCTCGTCTGATGTCTGATGGTGATGGAGCAAACAAATAGTCTCTAGTGGGAATTACTAGGTGTTCAATGCCGTGGGCCTGGAAACCATAAAACACTTGAATTGAACATCTATAAGCAAAGAGAAATTGAAATGAAACAAATCAACATCAAAACTGGGATTATTTTAATTCAACTCCTATTATGGAAAAAACATTGGACTAAGAAGCAAATAAAAACACAAATTAAAACTTTGACTTCATGTAATTTCAGTTATCACAAATGGAAAAATTCATGTGCTTATCAATCATGTAATGTAACTACCCAAGAAAACTTCTAAACGAACAACATTCCAGTTATTTCCAAAACAAGATAGGAGGAAATTACATAAACGCTACTCAACAAACTAAAGGCACAAACAATCAAGCATAACTGAGTAATTCTAGATTTTACAGTCAAAAAATTGTGAAGCATGGATGTTTTGATCAAATAACCTACATGATATAAGGAAGTAGGAACCAGTGTCTCATAAGGTTCGTTGAGCGTGATTACACCACTGACACCGAGCCGCTTCAACCGCAGCACGTCTTTGGGGAATGGAACTGCCCCAAGCAGAAGATACTGAACCACATATTATCAAGAGAAACTCATCAGAAGAAGATCATATCACCACTTACATGATAAAAACACAGTGAAACCCAATCAAAATCATATCTTCAGCAACAACTCAATACATGCAGAGTACCATTTCCTTAATGGATTATTAAATTCATGATTCTTGAATTTGACACAGAATCCAGCTCGATCGAGACAAAGGTAGGGCAGAATCAGGTTCTGAATTTCAAATTCCTCAAGTTTACGCAATTTATCAAAGATTTTGAGTATGATTGTTCTAAACAAATTTGCAGAAAACAAACAGACAAATAGATTCACCATAACAAGAAAAACAAAAGGAAAAGAAAGCAAGAAGCTAAAAGAACAACCTGGTCAACTTCGTCCCACCATCTGAATTCAGACTGGATCTTGTTCCGGAAAACGTTATACAAAAGCGTAGGATAAAAGAGGATCCGAGCACCAGCACCAACCAAAGCTCTCTTGGCGTCGTCTACTCTCTCTAGCTGCTGCTTCCCCACATGTTCAATGCCGTCTCTCCGATCACTCTCGCCTTCATCCAATTGCTCAATCCACATCTTTCACATGTACCAAAACTCCGATTAAAGGCCGTAGAACCAGACTAATTGTGAATACTGGAATCGGAATCGACAGAAACTCTGGATTTGGTAAAGAAGAAAAGCAGGTCTGGACTTGGGAAGAAGACTGTTTTTTTTTTTGGTACAGGGAAGAAGACTGTTTGTACAGCAGAAATGAAGACTGAAAAAGACGAAAAGACGGGATTTTGGGAATTTTGGGAAATCTTAAGGGACCTGGATTGTAAATAATGGATTGTTAGTGGATTATTCGTTTATCGTTTGGATACACTGGGTAAGATGCCGCTTTGCCACGTGGCAATGTAATGAATGAACAATACGGACTAGTATTTTCTCAACACTACCCTTGCAGTTGGTTCTATTTACGGTATTATTTGGAGAAAAGTTCTATTAGAGAAGGACTAAAAAAGAA